TGGTGGATGGGAGGGAGAAATGACCTTCACTAATTTGCATTTTAAGCAAAGAAACGTGGGAAGGGGAGTCATTGTTGGGTTTCCAGAGCAGTGCCTGTGGTAGGTGGGGACAGGGTGGCCCAGGGACCTGAGAGGTTTGGTATCTAGTCCTCTCCTTTCCAGGAGCCTTTCCATTCTTCATAAGGATACTTCCCAGAAGCCTTGCTTTCAAATTCAGTAGGCAATAAACAAGATGATTTGCCCAACCCAGGCTTCTGAGGTTAATCTTGGAGAACTAAGCCTGGGTTAGCTAAACAGCAATGAACCCATGTATACCACCAAAAGGCATAACAGAATAAAGTGAGACAAACCCAGAATGTTCAGAAAGAGTACAGTCTCTGTTGGGAGGAGGACTAGACAAGATTGGCTTGGGAAAACAGATGAGGAAGACCCTGGATGGGAACCTCTCATTCTAACTTTGTCTCTGTAGCCCGCCCACCCTCGATGGATGAAGTGTGTGGAGGATACTGGAGACTTCTTTGAGCCTACCCTGGCAGCCTTGTTTGTCCGTGAGGCCTTCAGCCCAAGCACCCGAAGTGCTGTATGTGAGGGCTCTTCCCCAGCCTATGTCCCTCCACCCCTCTCCACCCAACATATCCTCTCCTATTTCTATTGACGGTGTCCTTCTCTATGGTTTGTGTATTTAAGGAATCAGGCAGTCACAGAGAGAGAACCCACTGTCCACATATATCAGAAAGAGAATGCCTCGTGCTATGTCCCCAGGGTTTGCATAGTTTAGCTATGAGACATAAAGGGTACACAACATGCACTAACTTGAACAAGTCATCCAACGTTCCTGCTCTTGTGTTTCCTCAACCAGAAAATGAGAAAACTGAACTCCATGACCTCTAAGGCTACTCCCTGTTTATGATTTTTTAACAACACATGAAATGACATGAGGATGGATTGATATAATCTTAAGAAGTGAAAATAAATAACTACTGAATACTTTTTGAGTGCCTATCATGTGCCTCGTACTCTTGTAAGAACTTCTTTTGAACTACTTTAAGTACAAGCATCATTCTGATACTTTAAGAACTGAAGCACAGAGAGGCTTTCCCAAGCTACCAAACAGCAGAGTCAGGACTTGAACTCAGGTTCCGATACTGTCGTCCATTTTCCTCCATTAAGAAAAGATATACATGAGATGGTAAATGGCAATAACTCTATAGTCAGGTTGTAAAGCTAGGGCGACTTCAACTTGTTGGGATGCTGAAGCCCCCAGGAAGATGGAAAGAGGAAAAGCATGCCTTAAGGAAGAAGGTGTGAGGAAAAAAAAGGGGTGTGTGTGTGAGGACAAGAGTCCTTGAGAACAGAGATAGTCCTCATCCTCCCTCTACTTTCTGAGTGGATTGCCTGGCCCAGAGTAAGGATGGGGTCTCCCTCCTTTGGCAGGGTGAGCGCTCCTCACAAAAAGACATAGCCTCCCCTGTCGACCCTCAGGAGTGGCCAGCTCCCACTTTCCCTTTCTGTCTCCACAGATCTTTCTGGGTTTTTGGCCACTAGGGAATACCTCTTTCTACTCTCTTCCTGATATCTTCCCCTTTCTCTGGCAGCTCCTCGGGGCCAAGGCCCAAGACCAAGACTGGTCCTCATCCTGTTTCTCTGTCCCTGCCCCCTCACACCCACAGGCCATGGACTTATTCACTGCCATCAAGGATGCCCTCATCATCCGCCTCAGAAGGGTTCCCTGGATGGATGAGGAAACCCGGAAAAAGGCCCAGGACAGGGTGAGGCTAGGGGAAAGAGACAGGTTGGTTATGTGCAGGGCTGGGGGTGGGATTGAGTATTGGATCAAGAGATCACAGAGGCAAGAGGAGAGCACCCAAGGCACAAGGGTACACCAACATGTGGTACACATACCCTAGTGACAACAGGGAAGGTGGGAACAGGGCCGTGAGCAGGAGAACTTCCCTTTGATAGCTCAGGGTAGCTAGGTTCCTTCTACCTGTGTCTCTCCCCAGGTCACCCAGCTGCAGGTGAAGATGGGGGGCCCAGAATGGGCCATGGAGCCAGCGCTGGCCAGACAGAAATACAGTGATGTGTGTTCCTGCCCTTGACAGCTCCACCTTAGTCTTCAACTTCTTCACCCCCTGACCCACTCAAATGGCAGATAATCTATTTTCCTTGGGTGATCTGAACCAATCCCTTCGTGCCCTCCTGCAGGCTGGACTTTATGGGCAAGATACTGTGGGTCTTGCCAGCAGATGAATGGAACCTTTTCAGGTCCTAATGTGTGTGCGCACACGTGCACATGTGCATTCTTGTGACTTGCCTGAGGGTATTTATCTGTGTGCTGACACATGTGAAGCCTATCTAGCCCATGTGTGGTGTGGTGGTGGTGTGCTGGTTTCCACTGTACTGGGGATGTCTGTGTGTAGGGCTAATCTGTTTGGGTTCAAATGTAGCCATCAGGGTATGTGGATGTACACTCGTCACCTCTTGGCTCCTCCCAGGTACACCTCGGACCCAGCTTCCTGCAGTCCTTCCTGAGTGGTATTCGATCCCGCCAAGCTAGAATTGTCCATAGCTCCTTGCAGCCTTTTCTCCACCACAGGTATGAGAGCAAAGTAGATACAGACACTGCATCCCAGAGATAGACATCCATGATTAGCAAGAGAGCAATCTAGGGGCTCAGGGAAACAGGAACAGTGACAGTAGTTGGGGGCAACTATATATGTCTTGATGGAGCTGGTATTCATATGTGCTCATCCCACAGGTGGCAGGTGTCCCCCTGGAGGGTCAATGCTTACTATTCAATAACTGACCATGTAGTGGTCTTCCCAGCTGGACTCCTCCAACCACCATTCTTCCATCCTGCCTACCCCAGGTATGGGCCATTCCATGAGGGTGGACAGGAAGTTTCCTAAAAGTGATGGGCAGCTGTGAGGTTTGGGGGGATGGGGCTGGCAATGGATGGGACTTGTGGTTGGAGGATTAGGGTTAAAAATGTCAAAGGGTTCCGGGGATAAGATAAGCCCTGTCTCTTTAGGGCCGTGAACTTTGGCGCTGCTGGCAGCATCATGGCCCGGGAGCTGTTGCACATCTTTGACCAGCTCTGTGGGTATCAGTGGGCCATTGGGAGGTGGGGTCATTGAGAACCCAGGTGAAGGCTCCAAAAGAGGCCTAGAGGAGGAGAAAGGGAGGGTATGTGAGGGCTCTGGGTGGGATAGTCCTGAGTCTTTGCAATACTCCTGGGAGCCAGCCCAGCCTGTGGTACCCCCATGTCCTCACCCCTGCACCATGCCTCAACATTCTATTCCCTTGCCCTATTTTCAACAGTACTCCCTGGAGGCTGCCCAGCCTGTGATACCCATGCCCTAGAGGGGGCGCTGCTGTGTCTGGAGCGCCATTATGCTGCCTTTCCATTATACGGTGTAACTTCCTTCAATAGCTCCCACATGGTACTGGAGAATGCTGCAGACATGGGGGCGTTGGCAGTGGCACTGCAGGTAACTCACACCCCAAAGGTCAGAATCTCTTTTCACTAGCGAAACAGACATCCCTCATGCAGACATAGTTGCAAAGCTTTCTGCCCATCATACACCCACTGAACAGTGGCCACTTGGGGATCCCCCTCCTACCTAATAGATTCCCTCTTTTCTAGGATAACCATAGATTTTCTCACATTTCTCCTGGCTCAGACCTGTGTGTCAGTGCAAAACTTGGGAAAGGGGACCATGAACTGGTTTGGGGGTTTGTGTATAGGGCATCAGACTTCCAAATGGCACAGGTTTGGAGCCTAAGGGTTACTCTCCATCCCACCCCCATATCTAGGCATACAACAAGATGCTATTATGGCACCGTGGGGAGACCACCCTGCCCAACCTAGGCCTCACCCCCCAGCAACTCTTCTTCCGAAGCTATGCCCAGGTAGGTGGCTGCCATCTCCCACCACGGTTTGCTCCACGTCAGATAAATACCCTATTGGTAAAGCTTAAAGAATCTCTTCCTCCTGATATGCATTTCCCCAAATGCTCCCACCATTGCCACAGATGTTCTTTCACACATGTCCCCTTGGGCCCATCCTTTCATGTTATCACAAATTCTTCTGCCAAATTTAGCATGTCCTTCAAAAAACTAACAAAAAATCTCTACTTCCAAATCCCTCCCAGGATGAGCTCAACTTTACCCCCCTCTTATTTCTTCTCCTGAAAATACAAACCCATGAAAAACAAGTCTTAACAGACTGTCTATAGACTACATTTCTCTTCAAAGACCTCACCCCCAAGTGTGAGCCCCTCAGTACCATGTGTTCCTCAATAGACGCTGCCCCCAATTTCTCAATATACTTAAAGACCTTGTCACAGAGTTCTTCCAATAGACCCTACCTCTCAGTCACTTACAAGTGGTCTGATTCCACAGCGGGGGCCCTCCCCTGAATGCCTAGAGCCAGGTTAAATGACCTACAACTGGAAAATGCTCTTCCTCTCTCCTCATGGCCCTTGGTCATTCCCATCCCTGCTTGACCTTTGTCTGCTGTTCCTTGCACCACCTCGTCACTAGGTCTTGCCTACTGATCCTTATCTACCCTGTTTTTCTCCTTACCCTCTGTGAACCTCTCTTTCTTCCTAGGTGATGTGTAGGAAGCTCAGCACACAGGATTCTCAGGACACTCACAGCCCTCCCACCCTTCGAGTCCATGGGCCCCTCAGCAACACTCCAGCTTTCGCTAGACATTTCTACTGTCCACGTGGTGCCCTCCTGAACCCCTCAGAACGCTGCCAACTCTGGTAACCTGGCTACCAAAGAGACCTCAATGCACATATATCAATATCTCCCTGCCCCATCCATGGAATCAGGGTGATGTCTCCTCTCTTCTTTTCCAAAAATAAAATCTGGCACTTGGTTTCTGCCTGTCTCTTAATGACTCTTTCCTGATTTGCACTGCCTAAAAGTCAGAAAAGATAAAGGAGAAACTTTGAAGCAGAGTTCACAGACATGGGAAAAGGAAAGAACCAATGATTGGTGAACTGGTAGGGCTAAAGGTCAGATGTTGGGTGATTAAACAGACTAGTTCGAGATAGGAGGGCTTTGGTTAAGTCTCAGGAATCTGGCCCCCAATTGTTTCAGGATTTTATTGCTATTACTTTTATTGTAGCTATCTCCTCCCCCTAATCTGCTGTGCTGAACAAAGCCAGTAGGGATGTGGAAGAGAGAAGAGTATGGGTCTGGTGTATTGGGCCCTGAGGGATGGAGCTCAGAGCAGGGACAGACAAGGGGCAGGACACTGTGTATACGTCTCCCTGGGAGTAGTGACCTAAAGCCCAGGGGAGAAAGGGTCAGTAAGCTATCATGAAGCCGAGGTAGATATCTAGGTCCTCATCCAGGAAAAAGGCTGCCACCTCATCTTCAATGTCTCTTATAAAAAAACCAAAACACTGGCCACATTAAAGCACAAGGCTAGGTCGAATAGGTGGTCACGAACAGCTGTGTTCTCCATCTCCGATGTCTTGTCATCCTCTTGTTGGGCCATGTTCACCTCCTGCCACATCTCACCCACTGAGGAGGCCACAAAGTACTCTTCGAACTGCTCTTGATTTTGGTCTGGAACAGAGGAGAGGGGGAAGGCAATGGAACACCGATCCTAACCTGTCCCTGTACAGGAAAGGGGAAGAAGTTGGAGAATATGGGGAAAGTTGGGTCCTGGGGCTTTTAACTCAATTATCCATATCCTTGTCCTTGACCGGAGAGGTGATGCTCCATCTGGGGGTCACTTCTGGTCTGTGTGAAACCACAGCTCTAGCCCAAGAGCACCAACACCCCATTTCCAACTCAACTGTGTCCTCCAAAGTGTTACATCATTTGGGAGTGAGGGACCACCTTACAAAAGAATGACAACCAAAGATCCTCTTCCCACAAATATGCATGTATGCTCATACTCATGAAAGCTCCATGCAATTTCCACTGGCCTGGAGTATTCCCCTGAATAGGGCTCTTCCCTGCTCGAGACACTTTCACATGACAGCCTCACACTACAATAGTAGGGGACCTGGGTATTCTCCCACAACCCAAACCTATCTCAGATTTCTCTCTGGCCTGATAAGTCATCTGGGAGTGATTAGAAACAGATCTGCAAACCTAGCCTCCTGAGGTTGCCCTCCTTTTCTACTTACCTGTAGAGGGCATTTGTTCTTTCTGACTCCTCTCACTGGGGCCTGGGCTCCCTCTCTGAGGCTTCACCCCCTTCATCCACAGCAGAAGTAGGATGGCTGCCAGTAATGCTGCTCTGAGGAGCTGGGAGCCCAGGGAAGTCATGGGTCTTCCCAGCCACTGTTGTGGCCTTCCCCACTCCCAGTGCCCAGCAGGCTCCCTGCCACCTCCCTCCCCTGTCCCTGTCCCACCCCTTCCCCCTTCCCAGCACCGTTTTATTCCCTTCCCTTCTATAGGACCTCTGACCTCATGAGCTCTGTGATATCACAGCCATGGGCTGACTCATTCCAGCTGACTAGAGAGTTCCATCACTAAGCAAGAGAGTGGGGAGTATTTAGCAGGGGATGACCAAGCCTTCGAGCATGACTATGGAGATCAATACAGATGACTTAAGAGTTTGTGAACTGCTTTCACATCCATTACATCCTTACAGCAGCCAGGTCTCAAAGGAATAGTGTCATCATCCCATTTTATAGATAAGGCTACTGAGGTTCACAAAAGAAATGACTCACCCACTCACGATCACAGAGAAAATAAGGGGCAGAGTGGGACTGTTGATTAATTCTTTTGATTCTAAATGTCACAGCTTCCCACTCTTCCATGAAACCTTTCTCAAAGGAAAGTGGCTTGCATAGGATGGGCTGAGACCAGATGCCTGAAATAAGGATCCTCAAGTTCTGGGCTGTGCTTAAAACTCAGGTCCATTGAAAATGAGGGAGGGGGAGGGGGAGGAGAGAGGGTGGACAAAGGGTCCATCTGGGCTGTGTGTGTGTGTGTGTGTGTGTGTGTGTGTAAGAGAGAGAGACAGGGAGAAAAAGAAAGAGAGACAGACACAGAGGGAAATAGGACAGACAGAATGCAGGGTGTCCTGGGCCTAAGTTGAACCTATTCTCTCCTTCCTCCTCCTCCCCTAACTGTCCTCATGCCTAGACTTTGCCCTCTTGTACTGATAGACTGGAAAAGCCTTTTCTCTCATTGTACATCCTCTTGTACTTTTAGTCACAGAGAAAACTTCATTAGAGGCTCATTCACTAAACTTCTTGCTTGGTAGAAGGAGGTAGAGTCCTCAGAGAAGAAGCAATGTGGCAGAGAGACAAGGAGCCCACCTAACAGATCTCAAGAAACCTGCCTCAGCGGCCCACTGCCCACCCTACCCTTGAACCTGGTGAGCTCATACCTGTTGGCAGTAACTGGCTGTGACTAATTTTCATCTGCTTCTTGGGACAGAGACGATGGTTAAGGGTGAGTTGGGGTGGGGTGGAGTGGGGTGGGGTGAGGTGGGGGAGACAGTATGGAGGGCTGTTCTGAAAACCAGAACAGATATAGGTCATGAGATACAGGAGAGGCATGCAGATAGGGATGAGTGGGAGAAGATTCTAGACACATTTGATCTATCCCAATGAGCCCACATCACTCCCGGTGCCCATGCATTCCACATCTGAATGAACCACCAAATGCAGGGGTAAGGATGTGTGCAGAAGCACGAACCTTTCTGGGAGAGGGGATTGCATGTGGAAATTTCTTTCTACAGATGTTACCCATATTGCCTACTTCATATACTTCCTGGTGATCCAAGTCAGGTGACTCGGTGACTGAGGAATGGTACAGGAGGTAACTTGATGGTGGGGGTGGAAAGATTAAAGTAAGCAGGTGACTCTGCTCATTCCTACCTTGAACTCATTGACTTGCAGGTCCAGGGAACGATGCTTGGGAAAAAAAAAAAATCACTAATGTCCTCCTGGCTATTTGGAGGACGGAGCCTCTTGGTTCCTGGCCAAAAAAGAAGCTATCTCCAGCTTGTGAGCATAAATGGGGAAGGAAGCTGTGGTGGAGAGCTTCTTGCAGAAGAGGAAGGAATGGAAAGAACCTGGTTAGAATGACCACCCTCCTTCCCAGCTTCCCATCTGAAAAGAATATATCCTTGAAGGAACCAAGAATCCTTTAAATTTTGTTTTCTTAATAAGAACTATTTAAGAAATATGAAAAACAAAAAGGGAAAGTAGTTCCACCCTCCAGTGGGCATCACTATTAATGTTTTCAAGTATGGTATTCAAATCTTTTCCCTATGTGGCTGTGGGTAGGTAGGTAGGAGTATATTTCCTATCAATTAAAATCCAGGTATCATGCGTGGTCCTCCTTATTGCATCAGAATAAGGGGTTGGCTGCTTTGGTACCAACCGGCTCTGGGCCCTGACATTGCTCTTACCTGCTTCTCCTGGGCACCTGGAAGGCATTACAGAGTCACGATAGACGTCAAGGCATCATCATAGGGTTGAAGCTGCTGCCTGAGGGAGAGAGACTGTGGTTGTCTTTGGTCCCAGAAATCTGAGAAAGCATGCAGAAGAATGCGAGGAGAAAAGGGACAGAAAGTGTAGTGATACGGTTGACGATAGAGGTGAAGGAGTAGTGGGGAAGAAAGCTGGAAAAGAGAAGAGAGAACTCCTTAAAGGTTAGAAAACAGTTTCCAAATCTCTAGTCTACCCCTGGGACAGGTGGGACTGTTACTGGAAAGGGGACCTGGCCTGGAGCAGGTCTGCCTAGGGCTGGCTGGTAGTGTGTGGACTCCTGACTTGGTGCAGGAAAGATTCCACAACAGGAGTCCAGGTGATTTTTGAAAGTATGCTATTAAAGTTCAGGACAGTGAAACACAAGAAGGGCTTAGCATAGAAGAAGTGACAGGAGAGGGCCTAGGTGGGAAACATTAGCCTAGGTGGGGCCGCTTTCACTCACTGGGAAGTCAGAGAAAGGGGGCCTTGAGGACAGGGTCAGAGGGTTAACCCAGGAGGAGCTGCTACTACCCATGGCTCCCCTGGTTGCAAGCCTCATGGGGTCTCTTAGTTTAGGCAATGAATACCTGTGGGGAAAGAAGAGGGGGGAGGGAGGGAAAAGGTGTGGGTGTGTTCCTGGGAGAGAGAGCAAGAACTGGGACCTTCATTTTGAAGGGTTTTAAAGAGTGGGAGTTTAGGGAAGGTCGTAGTGGAGGATCTCAATAGAATATTCATCAGTTCTATGCTGATGTGCCAAAAGGAGATTTATTCCCTTAAATTCATCTGTCCTTGGGTGTGGTTGACAAATGGCTCTCATTGGATTTGGATTTCTGTTATCTGTCTCCCCGAGTAGGGTGATTTAAGCTCTGGTTGGGGAGACGTGCAAACCATTTATTTATTTTTTTTAAATATTTTTTTATTGGTTTTTAGAGAGAGAGGAAGGGATAGGGAAAAAAAGAGAAACATTGATATGAGAGCAAAACATTAATCGGCTGCCCTGACCAGAAATCAAACCAGCAACCTTTTGGTGCATGGGATGACGCTCAACCAACTGAGCCACAGCAGCCAGGACCAAAACATTTACTCCTATGTATCCTTGGTTTAGGGAAGACAGGATTTACTAGATGGCTGCAAACTGCTGTTTAATTATCTATCTCAGTTTCCCTATTCCACTTGCCAAGGAATTTTCCTAGCTTCTTTAAATCTTGCCTTAGGACAACCTGGTTCCCCCAGGCTGCTGGTACCTGCCCCTCCCATTGGAGAGCACAGTGCAGGCGCAGAAGGGCAAGTGAGAGGGTGAAGAGCCTGCCCCCCTTTCTCCTCACTGACCCAAGGACACTGCCCTTGGTGAGAGACCCTGTGCACCTGCTCCGTGCGGCTCTGACCGGGCCTGCCCTCTCCCACCCCCTCCAAGATTAGCTTTATAGGCTGGGTGCTGCTTTCCTGTGCCTGCCCCTGCTTATCAGCTCATCTATAACCCCCACCTCAACCTTATCGCTGCCTCCATCTCCTTAGACTAATCCCAAGGCTTCAGAGGCTATTACCACCTCACCCTGCCTAACCCCCAGCGCAGCAGAAAAATGTCCCACAAGGTGACTCCCTCCCCTTAACCAGCCCGCCCCTCCCCCTCCCCAGGGTGAGAGCATGCTTTCTCCTTGTCTCCGGCATCTACTCTTTCTTGCCTTTTTATTTTCCTTTCAACTCCTGTCCTACTCTAAAGGTTGTTTTGTCCACCTTGCAACTGCTAGAAAAAACACCTTCATTCTTACAGCAAAAGAAGCGAGCATTCCCCCTGCTCCTGGAGACCCCGAAGGGGGAGGGTCCCCTGAGGATCTCCACTCAGATCTCTCACATCTTTATAGGCAGAAGTTTCCTAAGAAGCAACAAGGTCTGGCATGTGATCTGGAGCTAAGGTTTTAACTTTAAAGCCAGTTCCAGTTTTGCTACTTGCTGTAGGTACTCACACTTCCCGTCTGGGCTCCGTCTTGGTCTTCTCACTTATGAAATAAAGAGGACCTTCCCTATTCCCACCTACCTCTTAGGGCTATTGAATGACTACAGTTCAGTCGTAGGTATATACTGCTTTGAAAACAATCAGGAGGAGAAATAGAAACTGCCCTATCAGACAGTTTGGCTTACTCTTTCCTCCTGCTGTCTCATTCCCAGAGAGAGACCCAAAGGTGGGTGGGTCTACCTCCTTCACCTGCCTCTCTTCCTGTTGTGAAAACACAGGGCCCTCTGAAGGTCTCCTCTGATGAGGGCTCCAAGTAGCTGGAAGAGAAGAAGGGTCACTCTGAGTTTCTCACAGAGGAGGGGTGGCCTGGACCCCTTTTGTGAGTCAGGGTTGAGGACAGAGATGACCACCACTCAGGGAAGCAGCCCCAGCTGCTTCTAAGCTCATCTCTGGAAGGATCATCAACATCCTTGAGTTCTTAGGATCATGCTCTACAGCCACTTCCATGAGAGAGCAGAGGTGCTCCACTCCTTTTACAGAGTAGCAGACTGAGGCACAGAAAGCTCACCTAACTGATTTGCAAGGGCTGAGAGAGCCAGGATTCAAACCAGGCTGATAGCCCAGCTGGAGGACATGATTTCCAGATCATCTGCATCCCACTGACTGCTCACCTTGCTTGTGGGAGCCCGCTTCTAGGTCTCTCGCCTTGCTCCCCATTCAGAGTGCTCTGCCCCGCCCCTCACCTGTCCAGGTCTCAGCCCCAACCCACTGCCAAAGTTCCCTCCCCTCTCCCCTCCTGGCTGTAGGGCGGGCTCTGTGTCTCAGAGGTTCACTCTAGAAACAGCTCCTCCCCTTCCAGGTAAAGCTGCTCTCTCGTGACAGGG